ATCTTTTCTATCAATAGGGGTTATAATCAAATAAAAAAAATATTAATTGATCAAAATAAGTCTTACGTTCTCTTGAATCCATGAATCCAAAAAACTTTACTTGTTTATGATGTATGTGGTAATTTTGTAGATGATTTTGAAAATAGCATAGTTGCATATAATACGGCTTGTCTTGATACTTCTAAATTTATGAGTTTTTGTTACAACATTCTATGTTTTCAGTTTGATTTGAATTTAAAGTTTTAGTGAATCATATAAATTTTTTTCTATAATAAATTACTATAATTTGATGAATTTTTTTATATTCATAATGTATATTTTGCACTATTTTTTATTCATTTGATAATCACTATATTTCCAACGTACAAATAGTAATTATTTTTTTTATTTCATATTCTACATTCAAGAACATACAACATGATATCATCTATTAATACATAGTTTGTACTTTTATTTTCATAAAATGTGTTTATTGCTTGTAATAGAATGAGATAATGAGACCATAAAAAAAGAGATATTTGCTTGATGGTATCCATTAAGTTTCATTTTACCCTGTGGGACCCCAGGGACGGTGTGCCGTCGATGAGCTCTAGTAGATGTTCTAATATGAATATATTCTTGAGACTAATTCAACCACGAGGGAGCAGCAGAGTGAGAATTTTGACGGGGGATCGGAACACATAGTGGGCTGAAACCTTTGGGCGAGTGCTGGAGATTCAAAGCAGGTGCAGAGCTTAAGGCGACAAATGCATTAAGCTGGTCTGCCATTTCACTTCCACAACCTCAATGCCAATCTCTACCACTTCCCCATGATCAAATCAAACTATACCAGCCCAATTGAGCCTGCCCCCTTCCCCTTGTTAGATGCGCCAATCTTTGCACCTGCTTCAAGAACGCGACTGCGGGATTATCTTTTCGAACTCATGCCACCACTCTCTGTGCCGAGCTTAGAAGTACCCAAGCCGCGCTGGACGTAAATTCATCAATGTCAGAGTCGCGCCGTAGAAATAGGTGCAATGAATCTATCTCAGAATGCCTGCGCTCGTTTTCCACGCTGATAGCAAGAGAAGGCAACAAACCCTTGAGGACCTCCGAACAAATACAAGGCAGCACCATCTATTCATACTAGAACAGTATGACGTGTGCCGTCGTTGGGGTCACATCGGGTAAAACAAAACTTGATGGGTCCCATCAAGCAAATATGTTCTTGATGGAGTCCCATCAAGCAAATATTTCCATAAAAAAATATTTGCATTAAAAAAATAAGTTCAAATCATTTCATTTTTATTAAAACAGAAATTATTTGAAATGATTTTGAAAGTTGACTTTCACTAGATATATATTTTATTATATTAAGATCAAGTTTCATTTCTTTAACAACAATAATCAGTAGAAATTCTATGTACTGGTTATTGCATGGCTTATATCATGTAACAAATTAAAATTTTGACTAATCTAACCATTTTGTAAATCTAAACTACAGTTTTTTTTATATTTAAAAGCTAGCATTGCAAGATAATTTTTAAAAATTTAAAAATACTTATAAAGGGAGAATCCGATAAATACAGTGGTGAAACGTCAAGCCAAATGATCAACACAAGAGACACATTGTATAATGTGGTTCACCCTCAAGAGGTATACGTCCACCAAGAAAGATCAATTGTGAGTATTACTTTAGTGAAGGATTCGGAAGAAAAATTCCTCTTCTATTTGTTAAAGATCCAATTGTTCTCTTGGTGATCGATTTTGGGATTGGAGATTACGTCTGACTCGGTGATGACTCCATTGATGGCCGCGACAATTGCCAAAATGGTCTCGCATGACAGATGCTTTGCCATTCTGCCTTCGAAGTAGGTCACAATGCTTGCTCCCGATTCTGCTCCTACAGCATGCTAAAGTTCTTTGGAAGGAAAAGCAAGTTTGTCTAGTGCGCAAACTTTTCTTAGCTTGGAGTTTGGGATTGAATCTTTGTAGAGCGCAATTGTGCGCGGTGGATGTAGTAGAAGGTGGTAATGGCAAATGCTACAAAGCGTTAAGAGACTTGTGACAAATGTTGGACTTTGTTGCTTTCCTCATCCATCCTTGAATGACCTTAGCAACCTTTAATTGAAAGAATATCCAACCCTTGGCCGAAGCGATCATACCTCTGGAACTAGACATCCATCTCGTACTCCGGTGCTTTTAAGAATGCGGTTTGGAAACATATATGTGCTTAGCTCTTTGAGCCTTTATATTTTCTTGCAATCGCTGTCCATATGGACACAAATGGATCAAATTAAACCTCTGATTTACAGACTTCTGACAAGATTCATCTCACCCGCGTTCGATGGACTAGAGAGCTAATAGCGCTAGTTAAATCTCATTTGTGCTCCTCCAGCACGGCTCGCAATGCATTTGATTTTTTACGAGCTTTCGGCATGAGGCGTTAGTGCCAAAGCCAAGGTTCTGGGCTTCTACACCTCATATATGGACCACAAAAACTTTGTGTTGAAAAACTTTTAGCTTTATTTCAAAAAACTATCACAAACTTAAAAAAATCTATAAATGTCACATTTTTTTCACAACTTAGTCAAAAACTGTGAGATGTCAAAAAAATTTCAATAAATTTTAGTCGTGAAAAAACTGTAGGTAAATTTCATCTTTGACGCTAGCGACAAGACCTATCACCTAAAATTGCCTCAAACTAGACTTTAGCATACTTGAAAAACTTCAAAAAAACCGACACCGCCACTGTAAGAATACTCCTCACCACTGAATTTTTTTGGACTATGGAACTGTCAAACTTTTTTGCTTTTTCGTCGAATAGGTATTCAAAGTTGAGAAAAAAACATGAAAAAATTGTCACTTCAGAAAACACGAGAAAGAAAAAAACTGTCACATTTAAATTTTGGATCCCGTTAGAAAATAGTCATCTGTCGTAACCGTTTTCAACCTGTCTCAAAAATGAAAAAAACCTATGAGTTGAAATTTTTTCACACGAACTCCAAACCAAAACCAGCTCTAATATCAATTGTAGAAGGTAAAACCTTGAAAAACACTCAATCCATGCAATTAACATCAAACACAAAAATTACGTGGTTCATCCTCAAGAGGAGTGCTACGTCCACCGAGAACACGCGATGCTTTACTCACAAAAGACTCTATGTACATGGTAGAAACTATGATATTTAATCCTAGTCCAAACGATCTTAACTGGAGTTAAGCTCAACAATACTGTCTTAAAGAAAAATTATAGTTATATAATGTAAAAAATATTTTTCTTAACTATTAAAAAACCAAAATATTTGATAATTTGATAAATCATATTTCTTACTTATTAAATAATATTTCTATTTCTATTTATGAATTAAAAATGCATGATTTCAATAATTTTGATATAATTTTTGTTGCATTGTAAAAAGAAAAATGTGCTTTCAGAATTAAATTACTATAATGATATTCAGATATTAAATGTGAATATAATTTTTTTAAATAAAAATATATCTTTTAAAAATTTGCTTTAGATATAGAATTTTATAAATTAAATTTCTTCTTACAAAATAGATATTGAAAGGCGTAAAAAATTTGTCATGATATTTTTTTAAAATATATTACATTTTAAAAGATATTTAAACACATGAATCTTCAATACTTGTATATTAAAATGTTAACAAGTTGATTAAATGATGTTGTAATATTGAAAGAAGAAGATTCAATAGTTAATAATAATCACATTGTGAGGTTGAATAATATCCACTTCATATAGGTTAGTCTGTACATGACTGTTTTGAAATGTTATAAGAGATAAAATCTGATTGTCATAAAAAAGACTCCTTACGAATGTATAATATGACAAATATCAATTTGCAACAAGATATTTGATGTGTCATCTTTAAGTGATATAATCATGATCATATTCAAATCTTCCTTTCAAAATTTTTAATGCATCAAAGAAATGGCAAGTATCATTATGGGTACACAAATTGATGAAGAATCATTTCAACTAACACAACATCTAATATGGTTGTGATCTAACACACAAATGATGAATGATGCATCATTTGTAAATAATCCATTACTAGTCAAATCTAAATCAAATGTCATGATTTTGAGCAGTTTTTTTTTTGGTAGAAAGAAATAAGTATGATTACATATGCGAAAAGTCAGAAAGAAAATATGGTGCTAATGATTTGATGATATGTTAGAAGAAAAAAGCATCAACTTAAAATCACAACTATATTAGTTATGAAATATACACTTAACAAAGTTCTTGAAGATATAATTATTCATCTACATGAATAGCTAGCAAGAACAACAATGTAGATTAGTGTCTTCAAACATATAGTTGTATGCTGAGAGTCAATCTCTCTGTTCTATTAGCTTAAAAATTATATCCAACTATACATGACAAATTGCCAAGTTTATAGACTAGTGGTTTAGTGATAAGGCAACATGGTATCTCACTTATCGCAACATATTGTGTAGCTAATTTTAGACTGTGTTTTGATTTTGTTTTTTAATAACAGGCACTAAACATTTTGTGATTCTATGTATAACACAATAACTTCTCGCGTAACAACATCATATGTTAGTATGTCATATGTCTGTAGATCTTTTGATCTTGATAATTTGGATACCCTAGGTGTTTGTAAGACATGATGATGTTATCGTACAAAATGAAGGGCCAGCCCTTATTATTCTCTTAGTTTTGTTCATTGTTGGGTTAATATTGTCTTCCATATTTTCTAATTTTCATGTGATTCCGGAATTACTATGACATTATGACGCAGGAATGTGTGAGTGAAAATTGGCGGAGGAGAAAAAACCTACAGACATATTTAAAGATGGAGTTTGAGAACAACGAATTAGAAGGGGAACGACACAAAGACCTCCATTTTTCAATTTAAGGTGACAAAGGCATCCTATGGAATCCGAACTAATAGAACCTGATGCATCTGGACGAATGTGGAACAAGACAATGTGGAAGCTATGTCAAATGTCACGTGGGGAGAAGGACGAGACGCGTGCTCAGAAGGACGATCGAATGCGCTTCCAAGTCGTCATGCGTCTTTGCTTGGGGTCTCAAGAAGTCCGAGAATTTTCGTCCTTCCGAGAAAAAGTTCAACATTGGCAGCTTGGACGTGAACGGCGGACTTCTCGAGCCCCGTGGGTGGGCCCCGTCGCAATTGCGCACCGATGTTGATTGAATAGACGGGCTATCTCATGACACGGCATTTTGTTTCGTCCTCTGTTCTGTTTGGAGGCAGTTGAATGAGCTCTCAGCATTACATGATGAGCAATGTTGGTGCTGATCGAAGGTTTGTCGACGAGGCTAGTTGAGTCACGCGACGCGGGAGGTTCTTGTGGACCTCGAGGTGATGGCGTCCCCTGGTTTCGAGCGCGTCTGGGGAGCTTGGCTCGATCAGGCTTTGTTGGATTTGGGGCGTCTTCAGCTGAATCGGAAGTTGTTGTCGATCAACAGTTCGGTTCATTCCGCCCGCGATGGTTGTAGTAAGCTGCGGGTTGAGAATTTGGGCAGTTTGGAGAATGTCGAAACTTTTGAGGCTTTGGGGCCTTGGGATCGGGAGACCGTGGACATGACGGTGTCGCAGTCAGATTTCACAGAGTGGCTGGGCGGCGATTCTTCTACGGGTCAGTTATATGCCAGAATTTTGTATTTCAAATTTGTTCTAAATTCATGTACGTACGTATTTCATAGAGTTAAACGAGGAAATGATTGAGAATGGTGAGAATTAGCCAATGTTAATATCGATGCAGGGCTGATTGTAATAGTTTTACGAGGAGAGATTTGGAAAGCATTATAATGAACTCGCTTGACAGGACAGCGTGTCTGCGTTGACTTCGTTAAGTCGAATGATTCCCCATCTTCCGAGTCAACGTCATCAAAATCCAATCACAGCTTGCGCCTGTTTTCTGGGAATGATTACTTGGGCCTATCTGCTCATCCCTCAGTTCGACTAGCTGCCGCTCGGGTGAGCCAAGTCTAACTGGCCAGTCTAGTATGTTCATTAGCGCCGGATTGGAAAATATTACTTGAATTGTGTAAGAGTCCAGCAAAATTTTTTGTGTTCAAATGTGAATTGTATTGTGTAGTGTTCAGGTTCAAATTCTTAAAGCATTGTCGCTCTTGCTCTAAAAATAAAGCTATTTGCTTCTTCGGTGCAATCTTAATTCTGGTGTACGAATCCCATTGTTCTCGCAAATGTAGGCTGCAATGGAATATGGAATGGGGCCCAGAGGTGCGGCACTTATATGTGGCTATACATATCATCATCGTCGATTGGAGTCGGCCTTGGCTGAGCTGAAACATACCGAGGTTCAACCAAGACCTTATGTACTTCTCTGTGTACTCCTTTCTCACGCAGAAGGGGATGTAATTCCTGCTTCGGTTGTAAGCGGACTTTAGGATATCCAGTACGTTGCCTCTTGACCGTGGTAAGGTTCCTTTTTTGCCCAGGAATGTTTGTTATGCCCCACTGGTTTCGCTGCAAACATGGCAGTTATGACAGCGCTCTCCAGTGTTCTGAAAGGAACTCTGTCAGCGAAGGGAGGTGCTTTCGCAATCTTTTCGGATTCTTTGAACCATGCATCGATCATAGATGGAGTCCGTCTTGCCCAGAAGACTGGTTATGCAGAAGTCTACCAGTACAGACACTCGGATATGGTGCATCTGGAGAAACTGCTGTGAGTGCCGAACTTTCTTCAAGGATTTCTTCCTTTCCATGTCTTCTGGATTTGTGCCTCGGCGAGTGTAGTTGTATTGTCAGCATCCCTCGATACCCTCTGTGTTACAGTCTTCAAGAAATTCATTACTAAAGAGATATGCAGTGATATCTATTCTAGAGCTAACAAAGCTGTTACTTCTGCTGAATCAATAAGATTGGATGTTCCACATTCTGTTCGTTACTTATGAGATGCACTGCTTTGAATGTTGGCAGGCTGGAATGTAAGCTTCAACGGAAGGTTGTGGTGACAGACAGGTCTGTTCCAACATTTTTTTCAATGCCTCCAAAATCGTTACGGGTGACGAGTGGTCGGTCTGTAAGCTTGTTGAGTTTTTATTATATTTTGATCTTTGATCAAGAGGGCTAAGGTTTTTTTCTCTATATTAAATTCGGTTGAAGTGTTACTCAGTCCGTGTGCTTGCTAATAATGCAGTTTGTTCAGTATGGATGGGGACTTTGCTCCAATGACAGAATTGGCTTCTCTCCGTCGAAAGTACAACTTCTTGTTAGTGGTCGATGACGTAAGCATCGATGTCCCTTCTCAAAGCCGATGGGATGTTATTTTGAAGTTCATAGCGTTGGCTTAATGGATTCCGAAGCAACCAAAGTGTTAATCTTGGGTCGCCTCTGGAAGGCTGAACAGTGCGAGTACATTATGCTCAGTAAATGGCATATTTGCAGAATGCTTTCTAGATTCGCTCATTTTTTGGCTTTGCCGTACTCAGTTATGTGTCAAGTGGATTCTCAGGCACATGGCACATTGGTCTGTGGAGAAAATGGAGGAGGTGTTGCAGAGGCATTCGGCGTGGAGCATGATGTTGATATATATGTGGGCACTCTAAGCAAGGCTTTTGGCTGCCATGGTGGTTTCATTGCAACTAGGTCAATTTCTCCTCATATTACCAAATATTCATGAAGATAGTCTTGGAACTATCTGATGACTTTACTTAGAATATATCATGATGAATTTTTGCTCCAGCCAGCTACAAAGCAGGATGAATTATACCTGGTGAAGTTTCTCAGCATCTTTGCTGTCATCATCACTATAGGATTCGCATCAGCTGATGCTTACTCAGATCAGTTGATCACAGATTGTGTTAATGCTACATACATCTCAGAGCGGTGGAGTTTACTTTACGTGCGTGGTGTGCAGCCGAAAATGGAAGCAGTGGATTCAGTCACGAGGCCGCTCATTCATATTCTCAACAGCCCTTCCTATTCCCGTTGTTACGGCTGCTTATGGTGTGTACTTCATATCAAACACCATCATGTTTGGGGATGTTTTATTTTTGAATGTTTTTAGAAAATTGTCAAGTTCCTACTGAATTCACAACCAGAGTTTTTGCAAAGCAGCTGCCATAGTTGTTGCACGTGAAGAGAAATGGAGGCAGCATGTTTTGTGGGAAAGAGTTCGACAACTGTCTGCTGGTATTGGCGTAGACTTGGTCAGCCCAATTGCTCCCATCATTATTGGGAGTGCAGACGAGGCCGTTTTGGCAAGCAGGTGTGCCACAACTTCCTTAACCGATTTTTTCTGTATGAAGAAACATGAGTGCGCAATCGTGGATCAGAGAAGGTCTTTTATTGTTCATCTTCGCCAGAGTGCTTGTTGCTTGCAAAGCACCTGCGGTTGATCATATTCCATCAAAATTATCAAAGTGAGAGTCCCAGAAGGGTTGAACTCGTGTGTCCTTTCTTGTGTCTAGGGAACTATTACAAGCTGGTTTTCATGTCCTCGCCATACGGCCGCCCACTGTTCCCGAAGGCTCTTCTAGGTATCTTCTACTCCACTCCTCGCTGCTTCTGTTAACAAACTAAAGAGCCAACTCTTTCGCTAGAGTTTTATGTCGATATCAAAGTTGACAAAGGAATATCCATCTGTACTATACCGTACCAACTTGGTTAATGACAATGTATCGCATGATTGTGATGTTATGTTGTAGACTTCGAATTACTCTGTCCTCATCCCACACGGAAGCCGATGTAGCAGCGCTATTGGATGCTCTTCCTTCATGGATCAAGGAACGGGCTAAAACACGGCCCTCGTTGAGCATCTCTTCATCCTGTAGATGGCAGCCTTCAGTTTTGACTGAAAGGTTGGGTCTTCTCGAACCCTTTAGTTCACGAGGGTCGAAGCAGTACAACAGAGAAGCTGGACTTTCGAGGTTATAAATTAGGACCAGGCGCAGATTCTTACCGTTCGCGAGTACAGTGCTGGTTATCGTGGTTAGTCACACGTCGTTAGTCAGGCCATTTTGTCACAGCGCCGTGTAGAAACTGTTTTAGTTGCTACTATCAATCGCACATGCTGGTCATAGTGTAGCGAACCCTGGGATTCATAATCTACAGGAGAGTAGGACACTCAGTGAGTTGAGGGTTTTAAGATCTACAGCAATTTTGCAACATAAGAGTAGTTCACGTAGTAAACGATTTTGTTAGTTCTGGCAGGAAAGCAATCGCTTATTCATGGTGGTCAATACGAAAAGAGCATTAGAACATTGTCTTTTGTAGGTTGCACAGCGTTCCTAGACTGAACGAATACTTTGATAACTGTTTACATCATGGTCTTTCGTCAAGTTCTACAATTTACGCCACAGCCTCTTTCACTTCATCGTGTTCGTTGAAGAGTGGTGAAAGGACATGAAATCTGAGATTTTATTTGGATGAGGCTGTTAGGATTCTTAATCGTCGTGTTGAATCTACAAGGCTCATCTTACATACGAAACGATTATAGTCAAAGTCTTAAGAAGTATGATCCAAGCACAAGGTTTGTTTCGATAATTCTTTCTGCACCTCCGAGTCCGAGAAACTGACCTTGAGTGACTCGTACAAGATCAAGAAGTCCATCTTGCTTTGTAGAACACTTCGTTTACGGTCAATATGATGAATGAAGATATGACGTTTCTTGAAAACAAATTTTCTCTTGGAGATTGATGTGGAAAATGAAATTCCGTCCCCTTTCATTGTGTCCAAGAAGACATGGTTATCGTTGATGATCTGACGTTTACTGACCAGACACGTCATTATCAAATTCTCAATTACCTAGTAATACAAGAATGATTCTCATTTTGAAAGAAATCGGACTTGGAAATTGCACAGAGCTTATGGACAAGAGAAGTACAATTTTTTCAACATCCCTAACTTCACCATGATAATTGTCAAGGAGTTTACGTACGTTTTATCACTACGCACACATTGCTCCTGAAATCCTGTAGCTCAGTGTTACAGACTTCAATAATACTAAGCTATCCTACAGTCTTCAATGAAGATTGCTCGAGAACGAGCTACCACCTATATACATGACTCGTGTCTAGTCGTCATCAGAGGTGGAGTAGGAGAGATACTGACCATGACACAAACTAATTCTCTTGTTGTCCTTTACACTTGGAGCCCAACTCTTCACTAGCGTTTGTGATCATCTGCTTTTAACTGTAGATGTTCTTGGTATCAAGTTTCTATTCTATAGATGGTTTTAAAGTAGTTTCTAACAATAGAATACGTGGCCTAGATGTCATGGACGTGCTTCTAAAAGTGAGAACGCAGGACTGTTCTTCTTCCATTACACGTCAAAAGGTGCAGACCTAATGGAAACATTCAGAGAAATCCGAATATGAGTGAGAAGAAGCTATAGCTGAAGCTTCAGTAGACGCGAGGGTTTCGTGCCTATAAATAATTATGTCTTCGGTGCTAGATCCACGAAGTGCTCACAAAGTTCTTATAAGTGGCAAACTTTTGGCAGTGCATCATGATCTTAGAAATGTCAATTTACGTGGTGGTACTCTTCTGAACAAGATTTTTCTCCCCGGCTTTTTGTTCCCCTTTATATTACTCCTCCATGTTTGAGCAATACATGAAGCGAATCCGTTGAGAACGCAAATTTGTACAGGGAAGTGTAGAGCGGGAAACGGGCAACTCCAACAGCGGTCAAAATCATGGACTCCACTTGGGATAGGCTACGTCGGCCAAGACAGCGAGCAGCGATCAACTTGGAGGTTTAGAACGTACTGGACTTGCAGCAGCAGTCTTGAATGAACAAACACAGAGTGGCGAGAGTGGAGCAATGTTCTTTCAGTTGAATATCTTGAAGATTACGTCAATAAGTTTCTTACACTTGGTTACTGATCCGCTGGAAGATGATGTAGACGGCACAGAACATTCAACCCTAACTTCACGATCTCAGAGTCAACCAGCCTACAGGCAATGGCAAGTTCGTCTATCATCTCTACCAAACAAAAAACTTGCAGTCACTATACGTCGAGGTGTTGAAATGTGAACGGAAGTGTCCCCATTCGATGAACCTCGTGAAGAGGAGAAGAAGCTTGACTCGGAACGCTTCAAACAAACTTTTACCATAGAAGAACTCAGCTAGATGCCCACAGTATATCTCCTTCCTTCCCCAAATGCAGGAAATAATTTTACCAAAGCGTATCTTTTAACACCAACTTTTGGTACTCAGATACAGAAAGTAGCTGAATCATACAGATTCTTAATATCCGAGATGTATAAGTATAATAGTTAGCTCATAATTGTCATGTCCCGTTGAATGCTTGGCCAATCTGAAAGTTGAACAGTGTGGGACATGAGAAGGATCTTGTGATTAAATTTCTGAAACATCTTCGTGCGGCAACGACTCCGAACAGGAGATGGGAGTTCATGAAGTGTGATCTGATGGGGAGATCTTGAAGAAGCATGGATGTCAGTAGCGTCGAAGAAAATCAGGATTGAAAGTGTGAAATCTGAAACACCAACAGCTACTTGGCGTGTCCATGAAGGTGTTCAAAAGGGATCGTTGCACGCACAATATTCCATGCACTCCAATCTTAGCCATAACTCCGGTAAAGTCAAAACTATTCAGAACGAGTTGCGGCCGATAAAGCTCGGCAGCAATCATGATCCAAAGCGCCCACCGAAGAAACACTCTTCCCCTCGGAATCCAACGAAAAAGATGGAAAGCAAATCGTTGCTCTGGCCACAAGCTTCAATGTCTACGCAACCTGTGGAAACTGAAACGGCACACGCGACGAATGGTCCCTCAGCCGCAGATATTACCCAAGACAGCAAAGCACCGAACAAAATACACAAGCTCAGGTTAAGAGCCCGGCCCTAGCGATCACATGCCCCCGGAGCATCATTGAACTTACAAGTCGCCGCCTCGTGTCTCCTCTCTGTCGAGCACGAGGAGGGTCAAGCGCCGATGTTCCATCCCCACCAGGGTCTCTGAGAACCTCTGTCCTTCGGCCCCTGCAGGTCGGCAACAGATCCCGGAGCTCCCTCAAGGAACCTGTGCGCCAAGAACTGACTGTGAATGCCACTCTGATGTGGCACTGCAAGGGTGAGCGTACCAGTTGAGTTTTGTCCAGTTGGCAACGCCAGGATCTCCACTGCAAATCCCGGCGTTGCCAACTGGACACAACCGCCACAGTGTGCACGCTTCATATAGTGGAGTCGGTAGCAGAACTGTGGCATTCCCAGTTAGACGAGTCTTGCTAAAAGGGCATTAAAATAATACAATTTAAGTTGGGACTCTAAGTTTGTCACAGGTGTAAGTAGAGCAGATCGGAATTGGCTAATCCATATGATAAATCAAGGTCCAGCCATCGACAGCGGGAGAGGCCTCGACGTCACCACTCATCTCATTAAGCCTTGACCATATGATCATAAGTTCAACCTGGCTTCGTGTTGAAATATATTGCACGGGGCATAAAAATGGAAGAGAATAATTTCAATTTTTAATTCCGTGTAAATGTGTATTTCGTTCTCATGCCTGATGGAGAAGTTTTAAATTTGGGAACTATTAGTGCGATCGCAGTTCTCCGCAATCCACATTGGGTCGAATCCGGACCTGGAGGGTGGAGTTGGCCCTCAACTAAAGTTAGCGGCGGCTGATCTTGGAAGCGTGCTGACGGTACCGAGGCGAAACTCCGATGGAGGACAAATCACGTCAACGGCGGGCACAATGAGGTGCGAAACGCAGGCTCCAGGTACTTTTGGCGGAGCCGAACGATCCACTGAGCGACGGTGTCACTGCAGTACACAGTTCAGTACAGGGAGGCGCGCAGAGTCCAGACGAAGTACATGAGTAGTACCGCAGGCGTGTACATCGGAGAACACTCTTGTCTTGGCCGAAGTACACGGGTAGTACCACCGGCGTGACCATGGGAGAGCCCCTCCTGTATCGAGAGGACCGACCGGGTACTGAGCCTCCAGCGTGGCGATCGGTTCCGGGGAACGGATGTCCCCAGGAAGTGGAGGTCGGTCTGGCTCGGTACTTTGGGTCTTTTAAGAAGCGCGTCCTGTTCTTATAACGAGTCCGCCTTTCCCGCAGGCTTTCCCGAATCCAGGCCCCGGGCGCGTCTGGGACTCGGACCTGCATCCATAAAACTGGCACCTCGTGCTGCACTTCGTCTATTGGATTTGAAGTTGCATAGCATTAGATAACGTTGATTGCCGCGTTTGGTTGGAATTGGTTTCTTTTTGAAGTCATTCGAGTCATTCGGCGGCGAAGTGCGACGGTCTGAGCAGAATCAGAAGGTGAGGCAGTTTCTGGATTTGTGTGTTGTAGCTCTGTTTGTGGGGAGAATCCTATGTTTCTTTGTCTGGGACGAGGAGAGAAGTAAAACGATCAAAGGCGAAATCAAATCTCGTATAGGCGAAGAATCCCTTGAAGTGAATTCAGTGCAGGGTTCGCCGATTCTTGTTGTATTTTCGAGTTGGACCAGAGCAGAGTCGTGGAGGAAATAAACGTTCATGATTCTGTTTTTATGGGGGACTGATTGTGAGAGTCGGATGGGCATGGTGCTCGGGCAAATCCCGAGCAAAAACATTGAGCAGACTGAATGGGGGTGATCTGATGATGGGCAGCGGGCGAGTACAGTGTGGTCCTTTGTCGATAGCTCTCGGGGAGGACGAGAATTGATCATTTGCTTTGGCCAGGAGTGCTTTGTCTATCACTGTGAAGGGACGTGAATATTGTGAATATAAAATCTGGATATGAGTCAAATGGCCGTCCGGGCCGGGAAGCACGATCTGTTGAGGAGGGTGGACTGTCATAGTCCACCCTCAGAATATTTTTTGCACGAGGGTGAGTGGGTGCTGATGGGTTGCGTGTTGCAGGTTCTCAGGCGGTCGAACGAGTGAGGGAACAGAGCGCTACGTCAACAAGGCACCATGATGCACATGACATTCTACTGGGGTACAATTGCGACGTTGCTATTTGATGAGTGGGTGACTAGGACACCGCTGCAGTACTATCTCTCGCTTGTGGCGATTGTAATCTTTGCCATAATTCACGAATGGCTTTTTATGTTTCGGGTTTCTATTGCCTCCAAGCAAAACGGTCCTCGAGCGGGTGGATTAGAGAACAACGCCCCGCTTCTCGAGAAACTCCCTGCTCCTAAGAGTGGCGTCTGGGATATCATTGTGGCACTTCTGTATGGTGTCAATGCTTCGACCGGTTATCTTCTCATGCTCTTGGTCATGTCTTTCAATGGAGGAGTTTTCATCGCCGTTGTGGTCGGTTTGGTGATAGGATTTGCTCTCTTCAGGTCGAAATCTGCCAGCGTAGACATCAACAAGATCTCCGACTCATGCTGTGTTGGCTGATTTCTGCCTTCAGAGTCCTTCCAGGTGGATTTGAAATTTGCAAGATAGTTTTGCTTTAGAGGTACATTCTGTAACATAAGGGTTCTTTCCTCGTGTCTTAACAGCACAAGTCATTCTAGGCAAACTCTTCGACCACCTCAGGGAGCAGAAGCTGGGCTCTGCTCCATTTATGCGGACACTGATGTGGTTTTTGGATTTACGTCCACATAGTTTGTAAATAAAAGTATAATCTGCCGCTATACCTGCCTCCAGTGTGAATTAGAAGCATGAAGATCTTTGATTTGTTTTCTGTTTAAATAGCTTGTGATAAACTGTGTTCGGCTGGCTCTGACTTCCTTTTTAATCGAGGCTTGATGTCAGACTGCTTCGCTCCACGTTTTTGCTTCTGGGACTCATGGACGGGTTTGAGATGATTTGATTAAGAGTATTCAATGAAACTTTTTGTAGGAATTTTAATTTTGCTAGTATGCGAGAGCAGCATGTGACATTTAAGTAGAGTGGATACTTGCTTGGACTGACACCCATAAACTGTCAGTGTATGTCAACACGTTTTTCCGGCAAATCACTTCGTACGACTATGCTTGTCTCGCACGTCAATCTGTGTGCTGCAAATGTTTCTTCTCTGGACATGATACACGATCGCTGTCCACGTCGACTACAGCCTCTGGATGCCAATTCCACATGGTTAGAATCGAAGCTAGCATATCTTTCCTCGGTAACTGCTAAGACTTCTGGTCCTATTTAACAGCTGTTTTATTCTGAGTATAATTCTATGTCTCCTGGTTTGTTGATGCACCCTTTTAGCTTTTGCTCTGAAACTACATTCATCTGCATGGAAGGCTGCAAACTTCCTTCCAATTTGTACACGAAAGTATTCTGAATATAACCTGCGGAAACAATTGGAACCTTACGTCTTGCCTTTTAATTCCTGTCATTGCCCTGCCGCTTGTCTTGAGCACTTGTATTCTGTATATACCTGTATGTATGAACATGCTCTGGACTTCAATCATCAGATACGAACTAACCTAGCACTTCATTGCCTGGTTACCTATTCGGTTACATCATCCATATCGTTGGAGAGCATACTTGTTGATGTTACCTTTTCGTAAACATCGAGAAATCTGCTCTTTTATGATATGGACGATTTTCATGAAATTGAATTGGTTACGCTTTGAATTTGCTTCATTTAAATCTGCTGCTTGAACATACTTACACTGTATTCGTTATGAAGCTTTCAGCACTAATAACGTTTGCTCTGTGCAGCTCACTATCATTGTCAGAACGTGCCTTTACAGATTCATCCTAACCCTTGTTGTTAATCTTCTTAATTATACATGAATCACGTTCTTATTTATTAGTTTCTGGATTTCTATGCAATCTCCATAGGAGCTTTGCTACAAAAATTTAAAGGGACTCCCTGGGTACGATTTATTCGCTGAACCGTTAGTTAGGTTCATCGTCGAACTTCTGAACGCGGTTCGTCTTGCGCGAGCTTACGATCGTTGCTGCTCTTGGATTCGGAATGTATTGGATTTTCTGGGTGCAAGCTTCATTTACGTACATTCTTGTGGCATTTGATTTAGTCAACGTGGGATCTGCAGCTGACAATACTGCTTCATAAATACTGCCACACCTTTTAGTTTCAGCAATATTCAGTCAAAGCCCGTAAGGTGCACACAGATACTAAATCTAAGTCCTCTTCTAAGTCTCGCTTTGTATATATAAACCAAGTGGCAAGTGTCATATTTGAAGATAGCTGAAAAGTGGAAATTACGAAGGTTTAGCGGGTTTGAAAAGACAAATTGCCCTTACAGTTGTATACGCCCGTGAAGGTCATGAGCCAGAAAGCCCTCATTATGTGAATTTAAGGATAGGTTCAAAGAGAAATTGGGGAAGAAGACGTTTAGAGTACCATGTATCTACTAGTACTACAACGAAGGACACCAAAACAGTGGAGGACGGGAACGAGCAATACTGCTTGGGGAGGAACCTCACGTCTGGGACAGATGTCACTCGGCTTTTCTCCAGCCACTGTCGGGCGGAGACCCGATCCAGGTAGCCTTCTTGGCGCGCTCAGTTCAGTGATTTTTCGCAGTTGAAAATATACTTCTTACTTCTGATCCTCATACTGATCCTCATCCTTCTGATCCTCGATGTCTGACAGGAACATAAGACATCAACAAAAAAGCAGTAGGACTTTTTTTGATCCTTTTCTTTCATTGACCTAGCATGCGTAGACTTTACTGCCACAAAGATTTTAAGTCCCAAAGGTGTCGTCTTGGAGAACATGCTGGTCTCATTTTCAACATTCTCGAATTAACTACGCATGCTGGGATCTGCCACTTATTCAATTAGAGATGATGACTAACTTTAATGATAGTACTTACTCGTTACAGTGGACGTGTGGCAAGGCCCGAAAATGTAGCAATCATTTATCGGAACGCGAGATTTAGACGACGATCATGACTTCTTGATTACGTGTCAGCTTTCAAAAATGGACTTCATTGGCCTGCGGTTTATGTGGACTGTACGGCTGACGAGGGAATTGTTCATGCCTCTGAGCCCTATCCCAATTGGACATTCGATATCAGCTGAAAAAGTCCTAGTCTGTGTTTAAATTTTTATTTCACTCCACATTGCTGTCGCACTAGTCCCTTGTTGTGAGCGAAATGCTGCTTTCTCAGAGTACGAATTTGAACTCTGAAAGCACAGTTCAATTCCCTCTTATGTTCATGCGCTTCCGTCACCATTTCCATGTGCCGGCCTTGTAATTTCTGCTCTAGCTTGGTCGCTAATCGCGTGCAAATCTTTGTAGTTAGAGACAAGATTAATTGGTTGTAGAGAGTGCTGTGTACCTAGAGCGAAGACGCTCGATTGGAACTTGAGCTATATTCTTGCTCTTGTCTAAGGGACTCCTCAAGGGGGCTTATCAGATCTTGGAGATGGCGTATGCCAAGCTGATGATCATGTTCATTTCCGAAGGTGATTCCAGCATCAGTTGAATCCAAGCTGTGGCACATCCATTTCAATCCAGCTAATCGAGAACCTTAAATACATCAGCGATAATTGGAATGCTTCCGCCAATTCCGCAGGTGCTGGACCATACAGTATGTATACTCTCAAATTGTGGAGCTTTCCACTCCATTCACGTTTGCCCAGTACATATTAAATTTCATTGTCTGTGCATGCCTTTGGATGCCATCATAGGCACTAGCGCGCGAATCGAGAACTCGTTCGCGGTCTTGGTGAAGACGCATGAAAAGCCTTGTCAAATCATTAGAAACAATATAGGTATGACTTAGAGGGTTGTATAATTAAGGAGACTTCATGTTTATACATTCTAGTATCGGATATAAACTCGAAATTGTCCAGTAAGAAAGAGACAAGTTGGCAAGCTAAGCTGAGGCAAGTCCTTATATGCTCTCAAAGCTAGTGTGGGGCGTCAAAAAAACCCTGAGTTAGGTAGTTATGTCGATTTTATTTTCTTTCCTGCAAATATCAGCACATGTGAGGTGTGAGTGTAGAATAGGCAGTTGAGGCACTTTAGCTAGTAGAAGCCCAAAGTGGCATGGTTTTTGTGGTCTACGGATGATGCAATTGTGGCAATTTCATGCCGCACGAATCTTTCCGTTTCCATAATCTATGAACAAATGAAACAAAAATGGTAGAAAAGCTGATACGTTTTTACGCAAAACCTGAAGAGTACAACCAGTTTTTGAGTTGGGTTATCGTTGTGTGAGATGCTGGCCTGACACCTAGTATTAGAGAATCGTGAATAGTCTTTAGGCATCATGGCCGGCAGCAATGATCAAACGATTGATCGCTTTGATTTCAAGTGACTATCTCAATGCATCGATGCCGCAAGCACAGCAGGGTGAGAATTGGCAGCAACGATGTCGTCATCCATCAGAGCGGAATAAGAGAATCAGGAGTAGTAGCAACTTCGTCTACCCCACGCTAACATTCACAAACTACATCGCGTGGGCACTGGTGATGAAAATTAACCTGCAATGCAAAGGTCTCTAGTAAGATTTCGAAGGCAATGATGATGAGAGCAATCACAATGATATGGTCACACTCTCCGACACATACGGGAGGCTACGTCAATATGCATCGACTTCGATGCCATTCAAGAACCCAAAGGTTCGCAGGCTTATTTTCACCACCAACACTCACTCGATGTTGTTTGTGAACGTTAGCGTGGTATAGACAATGTTGCTGCCACTTCTTGATGTCTGTATGATGCGCTCAGGGACGACGATTACGTTACCACCCGTTCTCATCTTGTTGCGTCCGCGATTTGCGGATCACCAACATCGACAACAACCTCTCTACCTTGGATGACCTTGTCAAGGAAGTTAGGATGATTCAAATTATTTTCTGAGTTGTACCGTCATAGTACTAGCATGTTTGATTGAAAGTATGTTCTATTTAAACTGCATGATAGTGGAATAGCTTATCGTACATCTCTGCACTGCAAGCTAGCGGTGCGGCCTAGATGCGCAAAGCCAAGATATATTGTCCATCTTCATTGAGATGTAATAGCACGTGCAAAAGAAACAACGCAAGTTCGGACCGGGTTGTCCAAGCGCTGCTCCAAATTGCAGCCACCTGCATGTGACAACGCCGAGCGCGACGCTCACTATAGTAAGATTGAATGTGACATATCAGAGGTGAATTGTTTCCATTGCAACAAGTTTGGACATTTTTCCAAGGATTGCAAGGCACTACGGAGTGAACGCAAGAACAACAACGTACAAACCTTGCCAAAGTTGAGGAGCAGGGGTTGGCGTTACTCATTGCATGCGTTTGCACGATAGAAGACGACAGTTCGATCCTACATATGATGACAACGATCATGCCGCAAGCAGCTGATGTGCCGGACTTCAGGGCGCGCGAGATGATGTCAACGACGCTTGTGATCAACATCATTAGATGAGTGGCGTTTGTCGAGAATCAAATGCACCGCCCCAAGTACGTGCAATCCGCCGACTCCTGATTCTTGGACACCAACAAACACATGACAGGATTCGTGCCACATGACACAAGTCTAACTTTGTTGTAATTTTTTGGAACAACAAACCTCGTAGCCTCACTCAAGTCTATTACATCCTACGACTGCCTAGCAACATCGTCAAACTCGGAAAGTTGAACAATGATGGTTGCCAAATCCTCATCGAACGACACGATTTTTGTTTTTGAGATTGGCAACGACGTATGCTTGCCAAGGTCAAATGAACATGAAAA